ACCAGACATGGGCTGAGTCATTTTGCCAAATAGCTAAGTAACCACTTTCCCAGAGCTTTGAAACCCATAGCTCCCAGACACCCTCACCTCACTGTCACTGATGTGATGTGCAACAGGCTTCTCAGATGGAGGCTCTCCTTCTAATCTGATAGTTGCTTCAGGCCCTGTACTTTGTGGCTATCACACAACAGAGGGTGCAATTTTCTGCCATGGTGTGCATCTTTCACTGGGGTGTGATTTGCAGTGAGATGAGGCGAGGTGTCTGAAAGCCATGGCCGCTGACTGTGATGACTTGATGACTCAAGTCTTGTGGATTTTCTAAGGCATCTACTTCCTCCTGTGAAAAATAAAATAAAAATCCCTCCATTTTATCTTTCAGTGATGGATGTTGTGTTATTGTAAGGCCTTTATAGTCCCAGCAGCAAGTACTTAAGTACATACTATATGCTGTGGTTAAATCAGTCAATGCAAATCCACCTCATCCTTTCTTCCTTAGTATTTTCTGGAACAATTTGCCCTTTTTGTGAAAAACTACCCATCATTCCAAGGCATGATTCAGCCAGAATCAAGCTTCATGAAAAACTAAACTATGCAGGCAGGGTGGCTATGTAAGTGCACTGGAATGTATTAGCCAAAGCCCTTTGTTCAGGGCTCCAACTCAGTAACCGGTGTGTCATGGCCTACATGAATGGGTATCATCTTTTATTCAGTGGACTTTGTACTATGTAAATTCAGGCATACCCACAGGTAAAGATATAGTATCATTTTTTACAGGTGGAGTCTAGGCACCTGATGCACCCTTAATCTTTTATTTGTTTATGCTCATTTGTTAGCTAGGGTTCTCAAGATAACAACAGTGTTAACAAGACTGTGCCGTGAAATGCATGTATATGCATTCTTTGACCATTTATAATGTGGTATCCTTTTTTACTCTAAATCCAAGCTTTCTATTTCAGACATTGCTTTTGTTCCTTCTCTATCACCTTGGTGGGGTTGTGACCCACCATGAAGAGTATCTTTCAGGGTAGGACATCATCATATTGTTTGTCCCTTCTTTTCAGTTCTAAACATTATTTTCCCTCTTCAGAATTTTGTAATCAATGTGACATTCTGGCTTTGTTCTAATTTCAGGAAACCTATTTCCTCTCCAGAAAGTTAACTTCCTGAAAAGATTAAAACAAAACAAAACAAAACAAAACAAAACAGAAGATTGTGGTGAAAAATTTATTTAAAAGAAAAAAGCGTTTCCTTTTCTGGTATCTCTGTCAGAAGGAAGTAAGTTTATCTGCTGAGAGCCCTGTTCTAGATCACTAGGAGTTCATATTTCCTGCATATCTCAAAACCCTCCTTTGTATTCAAAACTGCCAAGAAACTGAGTCACCTCTGTTAGAAACGGTCAGCTGCTAATAAGAATTCTGTCCCCCCCTTACTGAAACTATGGGGAGAACCATTCTGATGTCAAAGGCTGTGTGGTGGAAGGAGAGCTGGTTGGGTGCCAGCAGGCAGTTCAGGTTGCCACCTTGAAAGCAAATTTTCCCTGAGAACGAGGAATGACCTACAGAGTCTGGTAAAACTCAGAGGACAAATGGTATATCTAAAGGGAATGGTGCCAGAAAAGCTATTTCATTCTCATCTGGGTTTCTGACTGTCTCAAGAAATAGCACAGAAAATTTAAGTCTTTATTTTTAACATCCTTCTTTCTGAGGGGTCTTACTAGATTCCTATTACACCTTTTATGCTTTTTTGTTAAATATCTACAGTGCAAAATTGTCCCACGTGGTGAGTGATGAACACAGACAGGAACTTTGATATTTGGTAGAGATTCTAAGTTTGCTGATGACTTTATTTTTTGCAGAGCTAGAATATTGTAATGGGATTTTCAAATGCACTGTGTCATCCAGGTTGCATCCATTGCTGTTTCTCACTAAACCTCTGAAAATTCCTGACATATATTTGTCAGCAAATCAGGCACATTCTTTGAAGATGACAAGAAGCAAGGATTTCTTTTATAAAGTGCTTAACCTACATTTCAACCCTATTAAACAAGTGGAGAGAAACTTTTACTATCCTCTTATTTACATTCTATTTATTTTAAGTCAGTAGCAGCAATGCTATCACTTGCCTTCCAAGTCATGTTATATTGACAAAGAGGAAAGAACGTGATGTTCATTTTCCTCAAGGGCATCTCTTAGACATGTGAGCTGACTTCCTTATTGATTAGTACTTGTCAATATGTAATCAGAAGCATAGGGATTGTCTCTCTCTTAGTCCATAATAGATCAATTCCCCAGAGTACTCTACTTGCTGCAGGGAAACAGGGATTTAGTTGTTAGGCATTTATCTTATTTGTGTATTTTGCTGTCATGGAGGGAGCAGGAACGGCACTGACTAGGTAAAATAAAAGTGAATTAAATGGACTTCAGCAAAAAGGCATTTTTGTTTTCTAAAATTCCCAGTGTGTGGCAATCAAATGTTGAGTGTTTCATTATAAGTAAGGTGTGTCTCAAAGAACTTTTGACAGATGATGGGAAAGATAAAGCTCGGGTTCTCAGTGAGGTTTTGAGAAAACAAGGTCAGTACTTTTCAAAGAAAGCTTTTTTTTTTTTTTTTTTTTCCCTAAATAGTTCAGGGAGTCTCAGGGATAAAAATGATTTCTGGCTGGAGTAATTTAAGAGTCAGAAAAAATAAATCCTTCCCAAGCTGATAAATGTTTAATACCTAACCATAAGCTTCACAATTCTCTTCCATCCTAGTGCTAAGCTATTCTGCACTGAATAATGACATCTTATTAAAGCCTTATTAATTGGTGTGACGCTAAATGCAAGTTAATACAGGTCTCTTACACTTCAAGTTTGTTAGTATACTATCTTCATGTTTTCACAACTGTGTTACAAAACAATTTCAGTAACACTTCTACACCGTATCCACTGAAAGCACGGTGATTATAAATGCTAATACCATGAGTCTGTCTTCATATTCCTACAAAATACACAGCAGTGGTAAGTGATAATGCAAACTAAATCTTCATCAAGACCCACTTGGTAGTATCAGATATAGACATTTTGTAATAAGGACTCTTTTTGACTGAAAGAGAGGAAACCCATCTGAAGTAGATTTTTCGGACACACAAAAAAGGCTGTATTATGCTATATTATGCTATTACTTATTCCTCATCTAACCTGCTAAATGTGGCCAACCATTGATTCTGCAGTTTCTAGTGAAGAGTCTTACTTTTGGACAGTGAGGGAGCATTTATATCAAGCAATGAATTTACCCATGGTCCAGCTGTTAAAGAATAGATGTAATCAAGAGCAGATCTTATTAATGGTCAAGAACCCCGTTACACATGAACAGATCCTATCGCTGAAGCCGAGTCCTTAGGGAGTAACCTACACCAATTAATGGAGACATTTGTACAAATACTTTTAGCCAGTCTATTCTCCCATGAGTGTTTTAACACTTTTAAGAAAATTACTCTGTAGCCTTATGTAAAGCACCCTTAAGGGAAAAAAAATAAAAAAAATAAAGAAAAGCCTGCAGCTTAGAAGGGAGGTATTTCACAAACCTGGTAGTAGCCTAAGCACTTTTGCAGATTAGGTGAGGGGGTGGAGGTTTGAAGCAGGTACAGGAACTATTTCATCAGCCTTGCTGTCCTGATTTCAGAACAGTGCTCAGGAGATCACAGCAGGGTGTCCTATGATGCTCTTTGCAGAAAGACTGAAGCTGCAATCGTGAAGATTTTGAAGGCCGAAATGTCAAATACTTTTCCTTAAGTAGCCTGAGACACAACCTTCAATCTTCCGAAGGAAAGCAGAAGAGGTTTATTTTCCAGCCAGTTGTACAGCTCCCCTCTCATTGCTAAATTCAACTCTAAACTAACCTAGAGCACCACAAGAACATGCTTCCAAGCCATGTAAAACATCTCATTGACAATGCAAGGACTGATCCATCGAGACACAACTCTCTTTCCACACTGAAAGGAAAAACAGCGTTCACTTCTGGTTTTCTAACACACTGGTAATAGTTAAGAGGGGCTTACTTAGGCTTTCCTTTTTAATTAAGTACATCACCTTTTACTGTCTACAGTTATGTACCTGGGTTCATTTTTATTTACACATAACTGGAGATAAGATATGTAATTTTTTCAATGTGATTACAAATGCTTTAAATCAGGAACAGACCCTGCCAGGTATCTTCAAGCAGTAACTAAACTCACAACCTATGGAATCCCCTTTGAAATACTGCTCTCTGTTTACATAGAGAAATGGTGTTCTGTGCTGCTGTTGGAGTTACTGTGCTTCTTGTATACTGGTGTGCGTTGAATTTATCATGGTAGTTAGAAAAGCCTTACTCCAAAAACCTGGTTTTCCTTAAGAAAAAATTCATAGTCCTCACAGTTGTGGTAGTAACTTTGAAAATATGAGCCAGACAGTGCAAAAAACTTCTAGTGAATTTAAAGACCTCTTGAAACAATAGCACTAAGAGGTATGAAATACTGCATACTTCTTAAGGGAGTGTTAATCCTTAACTCCTAAAGACAACTTTGGACATGAAAGTAGGGGAAAAAAATTAAATGTACCACCAAAATAAAAACATACAAAAGAGAAAGTGTTTTATGATCCATACTAGTCAGGGTTGCTATTCAAAGCAAGTGGTAACTGTAAGCTCACTTTCTATGGATAGCCACTATTCTGAATTTCCAAGTTCATACTGGCCACTCAGGTACCTCTCTTCTAATGGTTAAATCAAGTAACTTAGCAAAGGGATTTTCAGATAATCTTCTTCTGGTTTTTGAAAGTTCACCTGCACTGCAGGATCCCTCCAGGAATGCATTCAGTTTCTGCTAAAAGGCCAGCCACACACATTTCAAGCAGCATTTAAATCCCAGGTAAGCAATCCACAGACTGCAGACAGCCCTTTTTCAAGAGCAAGTTAGGAGAAAAATGGGACTGATTCTGTTCTGCTTTATTGAAACCAAAGACATCCCCAAATCAGAGGTATTTAAAAACATTTATTAGCATTAATCATTGTAGGTTAAATAAAACAGAAAAACTACATTTTAGGGCAAAAAATATTATTAGATATGATACAATTAATGGGTAAAACAGAAGGTAAAGTATTAACAGATTGCAGCATCCCATACATGAAGCAAGTGGGTCCAGCCCAGTCAAAGCCCTTATATAAACAAAACAGAGGAAGAGTACTTTGCAGGTGATTTTAAACTTACAGTTTATCACTGACTCTGGTTTAAATAATTAAGGGTAGGATAGTAAAATACATCATCATTTTACTGAAAAGGTCTGCTTATAGTCAGAGTGCTCACATGTATAATATATCTAGTCACGCTTATTACCATGTGCCATGAAGGTTTAGTAAAGACAAGGGATGACAGGTAACTTCTCTAGGTATTGATACAGACCCATGTTACACTGTAGCAGTTTAGATAGACCTGCTGTACCATGAACAAAATAATATTTTTTTTTATTTTCTTTTTTTTTTTTTTTTAAGTGTCATGTTATTACTTCTGAGTCCCAAATCTTGGATAAAGATGGCCTTTTAGATTTCTCAGTCTGTAAGACAAACTTTTTCTATAATATGCCATTTTCATGCATAAGAATGGCAAGTCAACAACTGTACCTATGTGTACCTCCATCTTCTTGCTACCTTTGATCCCTAACTTTCAGTTCATAAAGGTCAAATGATGATTAACAAAAAAATGTACTTACAGAATACAATGTGCAGTATATGAGAATGAGACATAGTGAAAAAACACTACATGTCAGCATAACAATATAAAACTGTACTTATATACACACACATATACAGAGCATATATGAAAACTAGTTCCTTCATAATCTTGTTTTTAAACTACTTCATGACAAGCCAGAAAAGCAAGTCACCCACAACTGGACAGTCACAGTCTTGAGTCACAGAGCAAACAAGCTCCACCAAACATCCTTGGCACTGCAGCCTGTGCCTCAGTCCTGCTGCCAGCTCTCTTGAGAAAACCAATCTCGGACAAATCCAGCACCAGCTGGCCAGTCTGGAACTGCAGTTATTAGTATTAGAGCAGATCAGCTACAGAGTCAGGTGCTCCTGTACAGTAATTTGTAGAATCATAGAATACCAGGTCGGAAGGGCCCTTAAGGATCCGTCTGGTCCAACCCTTCTTGGCAAAAGGACGGTCTAGACAAGATGGCCCAGCACCCTGTCCAGCTGAGTTTTAAAAGTGTCCAGTGTTGGGGAATCCACCACTTCCCTGGGGAGGCTGTTTTCATTGTGAAACATTTTCCTCCCGTTTCCAATCGGAATCTCCCCAGGAGTAACCTGAATTTAGCTTTTCACAAGCCATTAACTAAGAAGAATTCCAATTGCTGCTGGAACTTTTGACTCAGAGTTTGGGAGTTTTCTGTATATCATTTTTATGACTGTTTATGAAGGGTGGTGATACTTTCCAAGAAACACAGGCAACAAAAGGAAGCAGAAATAATTAATTTTACATTTGAAAAATCACAATTTTTAAAACAAACCGTTCCGCCATTTCAAGAGGCAGGTTAAAGCTGCACTTCAGCTTTGATGAACAGCAGAGAGGCAACATCATTGTCAAAGGCAAACCCTGTCTTCAAAAAAAATGCGAGCTGCTCTGCACAGCAGCCTATTATTTCTTCACCTGTGACTTCAGAGTTCCCTACTGAAGCTTACTGTAACCCAAATCTCAAGAATGTACACAATCAGAATCCTTATTCATGTAAGTATTTTTCTTGACTAAAAGCAGAATAAGGTGATTTAGATTTGGCCCACAAAATGCAAAAGTATCTTTGAGCCTACTTAGCCAGCATTTGAATTTAAAAATCTGCCAGAGAACAATTGCAACAACTTCAATTTTTAAAGGAATTTTAACATATAACTCATGAAGTTGTTCTGATTCACATACAGCTCAATGGTAGCTGTAAGAGCTGGTTCTTTAGGACAATATCCCATACAGATCAGCATCAACGGCCAGTTCTAGCATAAATTAGAGTATACAAGGTACTCACAGAAATGTCTTATAATGCTTTCAGACATCTCAAGTAAGGTTTAATGAGTTTTGAGATGTCATGGTAAAAAAAAGAAATATGCCACAAATATTTATAAAAGCTTAAAAATCAGTTATGCATAACTACCATACGTTGAAGTAAAATTTATGACACCTTTTAAAAATGGGTTCGATCTCACCTTGTTTTCTTGGTAACAGGTCTCGCCTTTTACTGAGTTTTATTTAGGAAGAACCAGACCTCTTGCAGCATTGGGTCAAAGATCCCATAAATTATATGCATCTGTAATGTTGCCGAGTTTGATCTTTCTTTAGCGCTGAAGGCCAGGTTAACCTCTCCCTCTAACAGCCAGGTGAAAGAGCCAGGCGCCCCTGGCAGACTTGCTTGGATGGAATGAAACGTTCCCCAAAGAAGCCTGTCTCCCTCCCCAGCTAGCAACAATGACGACTGCTGAATTTGCACTTACGTAACCCTGGATTATCTGTAAAATAGTTGCTGCAGTGAAGCAGCAATATGGATCATGTATAAGTACAGGTGACAACTGAAAGTTTACCCAAAATAGCCTTTCTCACAGTAGGTGTCTGAGTCTGTCTATTATCCAAGGGCATATTTTCAAGTATGAGTGCTTTCAGAAGTGTCCAAAATATCTGAGAAATGGATTATGTGAAAAAACAATGCAGTTTAGTTGCTTAAATAAAATCCAGTGGGACTGTTCCCCTCTATAACTACTTAAAGCCCTCTGAAGACAAAGAAACGTTCCCACTGAGTTCATCTGGCTCTGTTTCAAGCCCTAATAATTAGTGCCATTTTATCAAAGCAATCTCACAACTAAGCAATAAGGTCTGGTCTTTATGTATAAACACAGAAGCCCAGCTCTAGCCTGCCTGTTCATAATTTATTGTGGAAAGTTGTTTTTCCCTTTTGTTTGCTTTTCATAAGTCCCCCAACAAATGTGCAGTGAGGTTAATTTTCTTCATAAGAGAACAAATTAATGTTGTGGAATGCAGGAGAGGCTCTGGTTTTGAAGCCCGCATTTCTCACCCTAGTTCTGATTTCCAATGAAAGATGAAGAAGATAAATTTGGATTTTATCATCTCAGTCACAAACATTCATAAAAGATGAAAGTGGAGAACGCATACAGTTTTACATTATTTCTAGTTCATAGCCACCTATTGGATTTTTTTTTTCCTATGCTGCATTTGCAAGTGCATCAAGCTTCAAAGGTGTCACGCAGCAGGTCTTCCATACCACACTGCCAAACAAGTGAGGAGACTACTCCACAAATTCACAGAATTGCATTTGCAAAGAAACATTCTGGTTTGTTTTATTAGATTCTAGCCTTTAACCCCAAATTATATTGTGCTCTCTTAGCTGTTTTTGTACAGAAATATAATGCTTCCAACTTGAAGACTTCTTGAAGCACAGCAGTGAGACCATGAGGATTGGGGTATTGTGGCACCCTCTTTTAGAAACCAAGCAAGTGGCATCTTTGAGCAGAGACAACTTTGGTCTGGGGCACAGATTTGGAAGAAACCTGGTAAGTAGTGGAGATTAAGCTGGTGTTTACGTTCTTTCTACAATTTCCATAATTAATGAAGCCTACGCCCTGGAAAGGGAACCAATTCATGCAAAGCACAGTGGCTGCATCTTCACTTCTTTCCAGAGCAGACTGACACTGCATGGCACCCAGCAGTCTCCTTCATGACAACTCCTTCTTTCACATACACAGCACCTCCTGACACAGATTTTGACTTCTAGCCTGTAAAAACTGCACTCATTCGTCCTTTGGATCCATTTTTTTTTCTTCTAGTTAGCAAATTCAGTCCATTTCTTGCTGATGTACTAAAAGTACTAGACGAAGCTACAGGTTTAGAAAAATACTGAAGCACAGTCCAGCTAGAAAGATGGCAGAAAAACTATAAGCCAAAATTCAGGTTGTAGGGGTTTTTTTTCACCCTGTTTTTACAGAGAAAACACTAAAAACATGCCAAGTCCACTTTGCAATGTAAGAAGAGAAGGTTTTGCAGCAAATCTAAACTTTATATATAAAAGGATCTTTTTATTAAAAAAACAAACCAAAACAAAACAAAACAAAAAAAAAAAAAAGTCATTGGTTTAAACAGAGAATCAGAGTACTTTGACATTGTAATTTTGACAGGATATTAGAGAGGACTTTCCAACTAGGTTTAGCAAAATCCCTTTAAAGTAAAGCTTTCTGCTTCTGGTCCTTGCATTATTGCTCATGGGAAGTATTGAAATTACTGCTTTCAAGATAAAAAGCCACATCACTGAGATCATGAAGTCCTTTCTCAGTGAAAAAAAGCAAATGGTGCTCTTTTTCAAGTAAATCTAAAAAGATCAAGTTGGGTCAGCAGCACCGCCTACCCGTCTGTGAAGTCTGCTTTCCAAGTTTGATTGCTCCATTGTTACCATTTTCATGAGGATCTAAGGGTGGAATTTGCCGACCTGAAACACATAAAGAGACAGTGAATTTAATTTTCCTGATGTAGTAACAACACATTCAGGTAACAGAATAATTCAGCTTGCATCTGTGAAACCTCACCAGAAAACAACCGTCTCCTGCCATCTGTGTACCTTGAATCTTTTCCCTTGCATCCTGCTTTATAAAAGATTTTCACATTTAAAAAAACATATGAAATATGGCTACTGGGAATGCATTAAGTACACTGAAACTATGTTAACCCTGTATTTTAAAAAACAGCTACCTTCCTGAGCACCTTATAACTAAGAAAGAGAAAATTCTTGGCTTTCTCCTAATTCCACTTAAATGCAAATGGTGCTAGTTTAACGAGATCCTGCCCAGCCAAAATCTGAATGCCATTTAGTCCTTGTACACTAGTTTTACAAAGCACTGTAACTAAACACATGCTGCCTATACTTGAAAAAGAAAACCAAATCTGTTCTTTTAATTGACTCCCTTCTTTGAGGGGTACCCATGTCTTTCTAGTTGACAGCTTTGATTACTTAACACCACTCTCTTCCCTCCCCAATCTACTGAGTTTTAAATCATCTTATGGGGTGACTATTTTACGCATTTGAAAGTAGTTCAGCCATGACAGAACAGCTAGAGGTCTCTCCCAGGGGCAGAAGGCACTGCTCCAACTCCCTCCCCTGTGTGCCCTTTTAGTACTGTTGCATCTTTTGACTAACTGGCTTCCTACTCATGGACAACATGCAATGTGCTTAATAATCAGAATTATAAATGGAAAACCAAGATCCTCCCAGGTCCAATCTATCCTGTCTCTGGTGTAGGCCTGGCTTTTCCATTAAGCCCACTGTGTGATCTCTCCATCAGTATCTTGGAGAGCTTACAGTCATGGTAATGTACTTTCTCATTACCTTCTGGACTTCCTGGAAATTTTTTCTGAAGTTGAATCTACCTTCTATGAATTACTCCTGGTTTTACTATTACCCATGTTAAATAACAAGAGTAAAATATTTAACACTTGTTTGCTATATGCCATTCTCAGAGAGCATAAAATTCCTGTGAACAGATTCTCATAATCCAGGTTAATTTTATAGTTTAGATTTCCCCATCCTTTGCTGCATTTATTCATACCTCTCTCTTGTCAAATGTTCTATGAATTATGTACTTACGGTGAAGCCTGAGTCCTAGGAATTACTTGGGGGAGTGGTTGTGGGAGGGTGAGTTAAAAGCATTCAGGTAAAATCCAATCCCGATGAAATCAAACAGAAAAATTTCATCTGTAAAACTTGTCCCTAAATTACCTTTGATCAAGCCCATCAAAACTTCACCTCTCTTATTCAGTCAGTTCTGAACAGGTATGTTATACAACAGAAGTGTGACTTTTGAAGCAGATCATCTTAGGTGTTTGTACAACTGAATATGAGGGGGAAAATTCCTCACATTACTAAGCTAAAGATACTGTCTTTGGTCCAACAGAGTGAGAAAAGGGTATCCTGAAGCATGTATAAGCACCGACATTACAATGCTGCACTCTGGTCACTAAAGTATGAACTTCACACCCTGCTTACATTCTGTTTGGCCTTCACATTTGTAAGTGCCCTTGCAATGTAAAATAAAAAGCAGAACGGGTGATTATAGACACAGCTGTTATATGTCTTAGTTCTGTTGGGTTTGGAGACAAAGAGAATCCACTAATTCTTAAAACTCCAAAAGAATATGAAGAACGTAGTATTATCTGAGAGGCTTTCCAAGAAGGTAACACCGTTGTTGTAGAAACCTGCAGAGAACTTCTGCATTAGGTACCTACTATTTCCAAAGTGCTTTCAACCCAGTCCCAGCTGAAATAAAACCCCATCGATCTGACTCATAGCACAACGTAGCTAAAAAAACTGGAATCTACAGACACAGTTTCCATAACATACCATTAAGCAAATACTCTCTAAACTTTTGGTTCTTCTAACAGCAAGTTTGGAAGAGGAGAGCTTTAACATGCAAACTTGCTTAACTTTAATTTTAGAAGTCATCATTAAACAATTATGTTACCTCTATTTGGTTTTCATTCAGTGTTTCACATTTCTTACGAGTTTCAAGTCTTTTTCACAGTACTCTTGATGTGTATGCAAAGAAGCAGGCAAACTTATCTTTGGAGCAAAAATACTGCAGGCTTCAAGGTCAGCAAGCACTTTGTCCAGTTCAGACCAGGACACAATATATGTTGATAAGAATCACCTTGATTTATTTCATTTCTCAAAACAGTAAAAACCACATAGGTAACAACTACAAATAATGAAGAGAAAAAAATCTCTAGACATAATATTTGCTGATTAGTTATTCTGGCCTTTGAACTTAAGTACTGTTTGTCATTAACTAGCCACGTTTTCTCCTGTTTGGATACCACCCCCACCTTGAATTCAATACAAGGAAATCAGCCTTTAAACAGTCTAAAACTTTGTGCAAGTTTGAGAATATTTTTTTAGTAGGTGAGTTTTCTCTCACTTATTATTCCTCTTATTACCAGATTTATTAAACCATCAAGTTCAATAATTTTCGTTTTAGTAACAGGACTTATCCCTGCCCAAGCGGCTTTTACCATCTGATACGCAGCTAATGGGAGTAACTCTCTTGGAACATAAAACTCAGTCTAACACCTGAGAACCAGCACCACAGCAAATGATACAGTGATTTTTTTCACCAAGGGTCAGGGGAAGTGAATGAAAATAATCAGTTAGAAATCTGTTTGACAGATTGTCTCTTCCTGGGCCTCCTTGACAGCTGGTCTCACAGCAGACACTGCAACAAAGAAAGGTTTAAGCAGCAGCAGAACACTGAGGATGAGGAATGCAATGCTGAGCCTGCGTCTACACTTACTGCTTCTAAAGCAGCTCAATCACTATTACTACCTAAAAGCACCGTGATTATCTCATCTTGCCATTCAGCTCCCGATAAATATGGCATCAATATTGCTGGTACCAACTCAAATATAGCTGGCACTGAGTCAGGATCAACAGAGGTCATAAACTGAATTAATTTTAGAAAGTATATACTCACTTAAAATATGTATCTCACTGGCATACATAGTCTCTGTTCCAGAGCAACAAAAAATACCCCTGTATTAGACAACCTACAGCATTGTCAATTTATGCTATTTTTTTCATGCAGCTGATGTCAGAAAGAAGCAGTAGTGCTCTGTCATCCAGCCTCACAATTGTCCTGCTGAACAAATAAAAAGATAAAGAAAATTCCTCTTAAAACTGAAGACTGCTTTGTTAAGATAGAGTCAGTTGAAAAGGTCCATAAGAGATCGAACTCATCTGTTGCTTAATTTGAAGACAACAAGCTAGACCACAAATAGAGTCTTCTCTCCATTGTGCAGAGCAGGAAACAACTAGCCAGCCCATCAAAGACCACCAACAGCACATCTTAGGATTCCAGATGAAACAGTCAATTGTGTGGAGAAAAACAGATACACATACATTTATCTAAGAACTCTGTAACTGAGCTGGAGAAATGAGGAACTTGGGGGTATACTATTACTGAGACAGTATAAAAGTCCCATATGGTTCCCATTGCTGATATTTTTATGAACTGAAGTCTACTGACTGCAATTTAAAAATTAGATTTTGCATGTGTATTACTTACATATCTGATTATATATTTTGGTTTCATTTCACTAATGTCTAGACCATGTTTCACAGATTTTCTGCAACAAAACTGTAACCATACACCCCTACACGTTTATGCAGAGGTTTTGGTGTTCTCCATGATCTCATTCTAGTAAAAAAACCCCGTGATGTGTAAAATAATAAGCATCACTGGAGACTGCTCAAATGTAGGTCTACAGAAATTGTCATGGTTCTGAAGTGAACCATGCAGGTTAACAGGTGGGAAGCACTAAATCAATTGCACCTCCTTCCTTCTGTCATGTTTGAGTTGGGCTGAGGCAGTCCAGGATGAAGGTCAGAGTCTTCTCCAATGCCTGGTAGGGTTCCAACACCTGATATTGAATCTGAGATTTGTTAATGTAAAGAGATTAATCAGCACTCCGGGAGTTGTGGTTCTGAGAGTGCCAGAGGCAGAGAGATTAGGAAATGGGAGAGTGGGACAAGTGGTAAACAAAATGAGGAGAAAAAAGAGAAATGGAGCAGGGAAGCAAGAAAGACAGCAGGGTCTGGGTGACAGCTCTGCAAGCAGAACTTGAAAAAAGGCAGACGGGTATTGCTGTGCTGCAACTGGAAGCAGGATGCATCATCACAGTAATAAAATCTGCTCTCTTTGTTCCTTTTTGAATGCGATGCTCCACTTATAAGCTGTGACATCCATTAGCTCAGAAAAATCAGGCTTGGAGTTGAGCTTTCTGGTTTTGTTTGTTTTTTTTTTTTTTAACGTGAAACTAGTTTCATCATAAACCTGCACAAGATTGCCTGAGAAGTTGGAAACAGCCTTAAAGCTGAGCTTAAGGAAAAAAACCCACAACTGGTTACCATGCTGACAAAGGGACAAATACAACAGTGCATTGAACAGATACTTGTTTAGTGTGGGAACAGATGTGATGTGATCAGCATGAGCTGGCACATCCACATGATGAAGTCCAAGTCCAAAAGAAGCACAGTCCTACCATCTAACACAAATACAATACTTCTGCTAAGGGTAAGAGGTAAGACATCATGTTGCTGTGCGGTGGCTTCCTACACATTTCTCCCATCTGGTCTCTTCCTGAAAATCATGTACAACTTTTTTTTTTTAGGTGGCTGGAGGAAGGAGATATTTTTGTTAGTGCAGGATGTGAAATCCATTTCACTCTGCCGCAGAGCAACAGCCTGACAACTGCCACAACTCAGGTGACCTTTTCTCATGGCTCACCGGAGAAAAGACAGACTTATTCAAGTAGTGGTGCAACAGCTATATGATGGCCTGAACCTTGTCCTAAAATTGCTAGGTGTTTCACAGCAAGGTGAGCCCCTGCAAAAGATTGCTCTCTATAAATGTCATTAATAAGCACAGCCATCTATGAAGGCAC